GGCGGGAGGGGGGGAGTGCGCGCAGGGCGGCGGGCGGCGCCTCCACGTGGCCTCCGCAGCCTGCCCGGAGGGAACTGTCTGCCTCGCTCGCTGCTGTCTCCGCCACCTTTGTTTTAACGGCCAGGCTTCCCCCCCCCTTCCTTTCCTGCTCGCCTGCTCTCTCAAATAAAAGCTTTATTACCTCTATAGGCCCTTCCGCCGCATCCGGCGTACATTTTTCTCTCCTTTTCGTCGCCCCCTCCCCTCTCTCTCCCCCCTGAAAAAAACCGGAGCCGTTGCCCGCGCCCCTCCCTTTCGTGCCGCAATAAGGGGACGGGAGGGGCACGCGCGCTTCCCTTTCTGCTGGGCGGAACAGCCGAGGAGGGAATCCCGGCGGGGCTCAGGCCTGGCTGCGCGCGGAGGCCAGCGTGGGGGGGGGCGCCGCGCAAGCCTCTTCTCTCCGCACTCATTGATTAGCTTATAAAACCCGAGAGCGCATATTCAGTTTGCCTTATTCCGTTGCTCTCTCGGTTGTTAACGCAGAAAGAACAGGCGATCTCGATCAGCTACTAGCCGAACTGCTTCGCTTCTGCGAGATTGTCACACGCACTAAATCCACTCTCAGCTGCACTTTTCCAGTTGGAAGGTGCATTGAAAGTGGATTATTTAGACTCGTGGGCCCGTGGTCTCTTAGTGAACCCGCCGCGTTCCCAGATGGCGGTCTCCTGTCGAGTGTGTAGTTTCCCTTGCTTCGGGTCCTGTTCCGTGTTTTGAAGCGTCCTTAGGCGTGTGCTTAGCAAGGACTCGAGTACGTGCGGGGGGGGGGGAAGAGAATTATTAACGGGCGCGGCCGCAATCTGCGCGTGTCCAAAGAGTGATCCTTGTATGTGTGCTGAGTCCGAACCTTCTCGCAGCTTTTTAAGTGGTCGAGGCGGTTTCGTCTTGAAATCAATGTTTTGCCCTGCTATTTTCAAATACGTGCTGCTTTCTAATTTCATGGTCAAATCGAGATCCTTTAGTGTACAGAATTTCAGGATATTTTAACCTGTTGTACTCCAGCAGTTTTGTGTGAAAAGTTAGGTTGCAAGGCATCAGAGGCCCAGGGAAATTGGATTTTGGACCTGAGGAGCACACTAGTTGCCAAGCTTACATGTGTCTGACATGCGCGATTAACTTTATGAACTGCCCTAAGAAATTTATTTCTCAAAATGTGCAGTGTGCTTTCCAAGCATGTCTGCAGCAAGTGGCCTGTAGGTTGCTGTGACTGCAGCTGTATCTTGAAACCGAGAAATCATTAATTTGAAAGAGAGGCAAACTGATAAGCCCTCCTGTTAACAACAGGCATGGTCAACTGCCTGTGCATAAGCAATAAACTCTGAGAGGGTGATTCTGTATACAGAGAACAAATGGCTTCCTCCCCAATTTAGCTGGACTTCTCAATTTCTTCATAGGTGGCAAGCCACTGCCATTTTTTAGCAGAAGTGTGCCTCAGTCAAGTTGAGTGTTTTTTTTGTTGGAGCTCCCTCTAGGGCTCTTCACTGACCCACAAGCATGCTGTGCCAGAATCCTGTAGCTTGATCCCATTGATTGATGTATAGCTTGAACATCAGAATTTCTTGAGCTTTTTCAGCTGAATAAATTTGCTTCTGTCACTGCTTGGCTCTTCCTCATATGCAGAGTTGGTGGCAGATGTTGGGACATGACTGAGTACAGTTGTTTCATGTTGCATTTTTTTTTCCAATTCATAATTTTTATTTTTTATAAACAAAAACACAACAATTTTAACCTTATGTCAGTAAATATAACAATACATAACTTTAGGAGAGTTCATGTTGCATTTAATGGGCACTGTGGCAACATTTTAATTCTTCCACAACCTAGGTGGTATTCATGTGGCCATCAGTACACCCTAATGTAAGCACAACCTGTAAAGAATAATGCTGAACTAGCTTGAATAATGAAGGCTATGTGGCATATTGTAGAGGACAAATATGACTTTTTGTTAGCCTGTATTATCTAGTTCTGTTGGTTAAAAAAGCAGTGAGATTAAGTTTTCAAGTCTAGTTACTGGGAGGGGTGAGTTTGCAATTGCTGTCTTTCGCGCAGGCCACAATGTGCAAATAAGTGTGCAAGCTAAAGGAAGAGTTCACTAACAGCTCCTTTTTTCTTTCCCCAGTTATTTGCAGACAGAGTTCCAAAGACAGCAGGTTTGTAAATTTCTTGATAACTTCAATCACTGTGCTTGTTGGTCTAGATGCTGTTGTGACAAAAGCTGCTTGCCTAGTTTTGTTTGGTTAAATTATATTTTTAAATATTTAAATGTACATAAAAGCATATACTTAAATGCTTATACCTCTTATTTCAGAGAACTTCCGTGCCTTGAGCACTGGAGAAAAGGGGTTTGGCTACAAGGGGTCCTGCTTCCACCGAATCATTCCGGGGTTCATGTGCCAGGTATGTAGCAGTTCCGTGTGTGTTTTATAAGGTGATGTTGCAATTTGTTGTCAAAAAATTTACATCTATAGTGTTAGCATATTTTTGTCGTGACAGTGTTAAATAGCTGTAGCTAGTGTCCTAATACAATGGCTCTTCTTCCCTAAGCTCCCATAGTAAGTGGGTCTTTTATCTTTGTTTAAAACATTTCTGTGCCACCATTCCACCCAATGCAAGGTCCCCAAGATGCTGAACATTAAAACATAATATCGTACTTCAGCTAAATACTGCTCTGCCTTTCTACAGGGTGGTGACTTTACTCGCAATAACGGGACAGGTGGCAAATCTATTTACGGTGAGAAGTTTGCTGATGAGAACTTCCTCCTCAAGCACACAGGCCCTGGCATCTTGTCTATGGCAAATGCTGGTCCCAATACAAATGGGTCTCAGTTCTTCATCTGCACTGCCAAGACTGACTGGTGAGTAGTCATTGAACCAGGGCTTCTACTCAAAATGCTTGCTGTCTACTTATAGAATATGTGTTGCCTAAAATTACTCAAAGTTGAGCTGTAACTATCACTTCCTAGTATCTAGTTATTTTCTGCATCTGGCCTGGAACCTTTTGAGTGTTGACCAATTGGAAGCCGTAAGGAAGATGGGGTTTGAAATGGCTTCATGGGGGGATGTGACAAGATAAATCATAAGAGATTCAAGAATGGCTTGAGTTGTGTCCTCTTTTTTTTAGGTTGGATGGGAAACATGTGGTCTTTGGCCATGTGAAAGATGGAATGAACGTTGTGGAAGCAATGGAGCGCTTTGGATCCAGGAACGGCAAGACAAGCAAGAAGATCACCATCTCTGACTGTGGGCAGCTGTCATAAAATTCCTTCCTCTTAACCAATCATTCCTTCTGTAGCTGGGGTTAGCACACCACCTGGAGTGCTTTAATCCCCTGTAACCCTTGTGCTCCTGACTTACTGCTGCTTTTTTATTGGGTTTCAATTTCTGCTCCCTCACAAGTCCAGCTGGACTGAAGACAAGTTTGTTTGCAAAATGAATAAAACAAGTTAAACCACATGCTAGTTTGGTGTGTTCTGCACTGGGCCAAGCCTTAAAGGTAATCGGATGATTAAATCTTATTCTCAAGAATGTTGCCAGTTTTGGAATTTATTCTGGGTGTTGGGTGATCCTGGAATCTATTAGAAATTAATTCTTCTAGTAAAGGTTCTTCCATTCTTCCTGTTTGGGGAAGGGCTATATATAGCTTGGTGGTAGGGCACCTCCTTTGGCTGCAAAGAGTAGCAGATTCAATCCAGATTAAGGCCCTGGCACTTCCAGTTCTCCAAAGCCAGGTGTTGAATGAAGACCTTTCTGTATATCAGAGTTAAGTGTTGATGGGTAACCAACATCCATAAAAGAGCAATTATTTGTCTAACGAACAGGGGGAATGAAAGTTTATCAGTGGAACAAGTAGTTTGACTTGAGAGAGATACAAGAAATGTGGCCTATTAGACTCATTTCAACACAAAATTTCAAAATGACGTGTTAGCACTGTAAAGGTTTGGCCATGTCCACATAACTTAATTAAAATCACTGTTACTCCTCCCAACCTGGTAGCTGTGCATAGCAAGGGTAAGGCAGGTTCCACTTGCTCAGCTCTCCAGGCTTGATGCTTCTCCTTGTATTCACAGAAAAAGGTGTTGCTGACTAGCAGATCACTGCTTCCATACAGTTCTTAAAAGACAGTATTCCACCAGGCATTAGAAGTTAATGGACTCCTCCAGAGGAAACTCACTTGGGAAGTGATCTGGCATATTCATTTCCACTAGCTTCAGTGTTGTGCATCCTTAGATGCAGTGTTCTATATATTAAAATGTGCATGCTTCTTTCAACACGGACAACCATGTCCAGCCTGTGCTACAGGACTTGTGTGGCTTAAATGGGCAAACTCGTGTATTCCTTTAGAACCCACAAAAGGGCATTGTTAAGGTTTATAAAGGACTTGAACTCAACCTGTCCTTCACTGGCTCCTAGTGTGTTTAAGTGCTTTCTGTGTGCTCCTGAAAGGGAATTTTCCCTCTGCTACTTCAGCTACTTACTAGGCTATTGTAGGCTCTTCTGCCTAGGTTAAACAATAAGTATCACAAGCAGGAAATCAGATTCCAAACCTACAATATTTGGGGTGTGGGTAGCAGTTGGATCTTCCTTAAAAAAAAAAAAAGTCTGCAGAACCCACCTGGCTTTGTGAATATGCTATCTACACTTTGCGACAGCTATGAGTATGAATTACAGGATTGGGTTACTTGCCTTCCACAGAGATTATTTTGCTTGTCAGTACCTTGTAAAACATTAAGGGGGGTAGTTGTTACTACAGGGCCCTTGAGTTATAAGTCAGTTGGCATGCTTTTGCCCTAGGCCCAAAACATTTTAGGCTGCAACCACAATGACCAATTAAGTTGCTGTATTTGTCCTCATGAAATTGGTATTGCAAAGAGAAGAGTTGGATTTATACCCTGTCCTTCACTCAGAGTCTCCGTGAAGTTTACAATCTCCTTCCCCTTTCCTCCCCACAAAAGACAGCATGTGAGGTAAGTGAGGCCAATAGAGCTGCCTGTGACTGGCCCAAGGTCACCCCGCTGGCTGCATGTGGAGGACTGGGGAATCAAAACCTGGTTCTCCAGATTAGAGTATGCTCCTCTTAACCATTATACCAAACTGGCGTGAAGGTGCAGGTTTAACATGGTATAACATTCAACCATATGGATATGCCACAAGTATGCATAATGTTACTTATTTGTTTATACCGTACTTTTTCTCATTGGGGAAAGTACATTACAACATTTCTCCATTTTCACAACCACCTTGAGTGGTAAATTAGGATGAGAGATTGCCCATAGCAAAGTGGGAATTCAAATTTGATTCCGCCTGAAACAGCTCACCACCACACAAATTCTAGTTCTAACAGCTGGACAGTAATGGGGTGGGGGCTGTGTTGGTACCTTACATAAGAAGGGCCATCTGTTGCCTTTACAGAGTGGCTCTATAATCCATGAGCTGTCCTACCTAACTTAAACTGTAATGCCTCCAATAGGATCAATAGGTCTGAGCATGAATCTTCTGAAATCTGGTTGGGAATCAGCTGGTTTACTTGATCTCCCTATTGACCTGATACCACAGTTTGCTTCCTAGTTGATAGATTGTAGGGTTTGTGTGTGCAACAAGCCCCACATGCTCTCATTTCTAGTGCAGGAAAATGAATCCTTCCCATGTTTATACCTTTGGATCTGAAGCTGTTCATGGATGGTGATTTCATCTGTGAAAAGGTGCAGGATTACTAATGTGAACCAACCAACATGTCTACAGTTCTCTCCTCCCCCCCCCCCCATTAGCTAGGGCAACGGGAGGTGCTGCAGACATTACACAACAGGGAGATTCCTATCCTGTCAGCTAAAATAGAGATGGGAGGGAGGATACAGCAGAAGGGAGCCACTGCTGTGCATTACGTCATTCACTGATCCTGCTACCCTAAGAGCTAGGTTGCCTACACAGTTGCTTTTGCTGCAACGCATCCTAAGGAAATGGCAGCTAATTTCATTGAAACACGGCATCCAACGCATCCTAAGGAAATGGCAGCTAATGCCATTGAAACACGGCATTTGGGCAGCCTCTGACTCTCCAGTGTTTAGAATCCAGAGCATTTGGCTTGATGAACAGCTGTATTTGGCATGCATTGCCCGAGAACTCTTAGAGATTAATCCTTAGCATCTATAGCACTGAGAAGCCAGCAAAGCTGGTAAGAGCAGCAGGCACTATGAAGAAAATTCAATGGTATTAAGTATAATGGAGCCTTTTTTGTTGTACTGTGGGTGTCCTCTAAGTAATTATTTCCTGACTTCTTTCCCCACCTTGCAAGTTTTATGAACTGCACTCTGCCTGAAGGTCCCCAGGCTGACGTGCAACATTTTTGGGAAAGAGAACATGCTGTCTTAAAATACCAATCCAATAAAATACACTGAACAGAAACAGCTGTTCTAGACACTGAGGCTGCCTTGTTCTGCACATCTCTGCAGGATCTTCATCCCCCAATATTCACCCACACCCGTCATGGAAAAGGTATCTCATAAACTGATCCCCCACCACCTTCAGTCTCCAGAGGAAAAACTTTGACAGGTAAAAAGTTGTTGGTTGCATTTGTCAATTTCAGATGGAAAACATCTAGTCATGGTTAAGGTTGGGGACCTCTAGGTAGCCGGGGGCCGGAGCATTAAAGATAATGGCAGTACAAGACACTTGCACGCAACACAAGGGTCCAAGTATCAAGACAATGATTTTAGCCACATAATGGATGTGACATCCGTATTAGGAAGCCGAGTTGGTAACAGGCGATTTTGGTATTGACCGTCTCTGTTCCCCGTTTTGCTGTAGCTTAAGTGTACGGCACGTTCCACCCAAGCACAGGATGCAGGCACAATCCCTGGCTTTTCTTTAAAGGATCAAGTGGTAGCATCGAGAAAAAGTGCCAAGAGTACCTGAAGAGCCATGGCCCCTCCCCGCCCACAGAAGCAGTCTAGCTAAAGCAAAGGTCTGTCTCTGTGTAAGGCATCGGTCTTTTGAGATGAGCTCCTCTTCGGTTATTTTGCTGCAACCCAGTAAGTCTGTGACGGGTTGAAAGCTCAACAACCTGCCTGTGAAGTTTGCTGCTCCGGACCCATTGGGCTACCTGGCTTCTGGATCTACTCTTCACAGATGAATTACCATCCATGAACAGCTCCATGTTTTCACAGCGCCTGCCCTTGCCCTGTCTGTCATGCTGAAGTGACCAGTCTTGAGGCCGTATTATTTGCCCAGCTAGGATTTTATCTTCACGGTCAGAACGGAAGGAAAAAAAATACATTTCGTAGTCTCCCTGCTTAGGATGCAGTCAGAACAAAAGACATATCCTGACGGCTCCAGGTTGTTTCAAAAGCAACACCCACTTAGTGAAAACCTGGCCCGGGATTCATCAGAACAGGGGAGTCCGTTCACACAAAAAAGCATGGTGTATTTTTTTATCCACTCCTGTCAAGAAGCTCGGAGTCGTGGACATGGTTGATTCTCACAACAACGACCCTGTGAGGTAGATTAGGCTAAGAAAGAGAGAGATCCTGAGGGCAGTAGAGTCGTCGTCCCCCCAACACAAGGAGAAATGGACACCCGTGCGCAACTCCCTCAAAATGAGGTTCTCCTTGTCGTGGAGTAAATCTGTATCTGACCTTCATGGTTTCACAGTACAGGGAAAGGCCTTACCTAATCGAATATTCCACCTACAAAACTAGGGGGAAAGGTTACACGCCAGCTTGGCTCGCAGCAGGGACTTCTCTCTGTCGGCATCTCCCGCCGTCTAAGGGAGGGGGCGAGAAGGCCCCGATCCGGGTTTACCATCTCCGCGGGAGCGTGGCTACGGCTACTGCATTACGTATCCCGCATCTCTCTGTTCTCCGGCGCCGTGCTTTTCAGTCTCTCGGCTAGGCGCCTGCTCGCTCTGTCCGCAGCCTGCTGCAATGCAACACGGCGCTGCCCACGTGTGCGTTCTTCTGTGTGGTGGTGCCCTCACCCCCACAGCAAGTCCTGCGAGAAGCCATGATTTCCACTTACTATGCCAGATTCATGTACCATAAGCAAGGCGGGCGCTTTGCGGAGAGACCTGATCGGTGTGCCGCCCCCGGTTAAAACCCCGGCTGCAAAAATAGACAAGCAAGAGGCAAGGACCAACAAGCTGCAGTGCAAAGAAAGATTTTCCCACAGGCAAGTGAAGGTTTGCAGCCATCAAACCCTGCCCCCTTGCAAACAAACGGGAAAAGCCCCCAGCAGCAGAGGCATAGCCGGCGCCCCATGACTCATCCGGCTCCGTGGGCGGGCGGGGTCGAACAAGCTGGCGGTGGTTTAGCCCTGCCCCATCCGCGCCAGTGGAAATCTACAGCTCCCGCCCTCTTCTCTGCGATTGTTAACCTTCAGCCTGTTTTCCTTTTGCTGCCGCAGTTACCCGCTTGCAAGTGGCGTGGGAAGCCAGCGCCATCTAGCGGCGAGTCGTGGGCG